GAGAAGAAAAGGAAAAAAATGCTCCCGAGCCCGTTAGGCTAGCTTACCAATGGGGAGAGAAGGAGAACGACGGAATGGCCGATTCAGCGTACGACAGCAGAGAGAACAAATGAGTGAGTATTCGACTGTCTGCTACACTTTACGGAAAAAGGCAGCCTGGTGCAGCTTGCAGTGGTCCTTGTCAAAAGAGAAAGATCGACGGCCACAGTGGCAGTCTGGCAGCAATCTGGTGCATTGACCAGAAGATCAACCAGTGTGTTTGCTAGCACACATATGTGTCACAGCAGCACAAACTCTTGCACAGCACTGCACTGGCACCAGATTAGTGGTGAACAGAGCCAGCAACAGCAGCAGCAGACGAAGAACAAACAAACAGACCAAAGCATGCAAACAGAAACCGAAACAGCATCAACCGTATGCATGCACCAAAAGAGAGGGAAACATAGACTTTGCAGCAGCTGCAGCGTCGGTTCACTGGAAAATGCTACAGTGCAACAGATGTGGTGATAGAAGAAACAGAAGAAGAAAAAGAAGTAACAGAAACACAACGAGCGGAGAGAACAAGGTATGCAACAAGTGCAGACTGCCTAAACTGTCTAAACCGTGAATCACATCCCCGCGCAAACACAAGCGGAGACACAACAACAAAATTGCGAGGGAAAACAGAAATCAAGAAACCGACGCTGAACAAATGTCTTGCCAAGACGAGAGTGCTTCTCTAGCTCTTTCTCGTGCTGTACAAAGTCATTTGTGCGCCTACGCCCACCACCGCTTTTTAAGCTGCAGTTGCAGCAGGTACAGTTTCCCTCCAACAAAACCCTACAAAAGCTCTCTCTCTCTCTCTTTCGCTGAGTAGCTGAGTACAGGCATTCAAATCAGCCATTTGGTCAGTGAGCAGCAGGAGCAGCAGCATCGGCATCCAAGCATGAAGCAGCAGCAGTATCCAAATGATCAAGTGCTGCTGTTGCTGTTGAACGGTGGTGAATGCGCTCAGCTGAATGCACTTTAAATCAATCATACAATAGCAAGAGCAGCAGAAGCAGCAGCAGCAACAACAGCAACNTGCATTATGATGATGGTAGTGACCAAAAACGGGCGTAATAGGCTGCTGCCACCATAAAACACTCGCTTCAGTGCACATCAGCAGTGGCAGCAGAAGAAGAAGAAGAAGCAGCAGCAGCAGCTTCCTTCAATCTCCAGCTTCCATCGATCACCTATCGACAAACAATTAGTCATTCTTGCTCTAGTAGCAGCAGCAGCTCTTCCGTTCATCTCAGGCGTTGAAGCAGCACACAATAGGTGTGCGCAGTGTATACAGTGCACAACCATAAAATTTTTGTTCACAACAGCAGCTGACAAAAGAAAGAAAGGAAGAAAAGAAGGAAAGAAACTGTCACTAGCAGTGAGTCAGTGCTCAGAGATTCAGGGCATTAATATGCAAATCACCACTGTCTGTTTTTTTATTGATGATCACCTAAGCGTGTGTCAGTGTTTGTTTGTTTGTTTGTTTGTACAACTAGTGCACACTAATGAGTAGTTCTCCACTGGTGCCTTACCGCAACCACCACAACAGCTTGACCGTTTCTTGAGCTTGAGAACTGAGTGAGCCGAGTGAGAGTGAGTGAGCTCCAGCAGTGAGTGAGCCAGCAATTACCTGCTTCCGGTTGAGGAAGAAGAGGGGAGGGAAGGATAATCTAGTCCTTCTCCTTCTCCCCTTCCACCTAAACCACCAGTGGTCAGCTATTTTCAACACCGCAGATAAATTCAACCTTGCACAACACAGCACACTTGACACGACTTGGCATTGACCACACTCACTTACTCAAGAGCAAAAGCACTATACCTCTCTCTCTCATTTCATTTGATTAGCCGTACCAATAGAGAAAGAGAGCTTGCCAACAGCAGCAACGAGTTGGACGGAAAGGAGAAAGAGAAAGAAAGAAAGAGCTTTAGCAAGTGAGTGGGCAAAGGATGAGGCCAGTGCCTGCCATGCTTGCCTGCTCAACAGTGTCAGCCAGTGCCACTAACAAACTGGCCGACGACGCCGTCGCCGCTCGCTGGAGTGGAACGAGAGCAAGAGAGCAGCAGTCTGACTGACTTGAACGACGAAAAAAGTCCTCTTCTCCTGATTTTGGTCGCCATCACCGACCACCACCACCACCACCACCACTGAACAGAGGACATTACTACTCTTCTTTTTCTTCCTTCTTTTGCGAGCTGTCAATCTCAATCAGAGTAGATGTTGTTCACCGCCGCCGCCACTGCCACCACTGCCGAAAATCTCATAGGTAGGCAGCAGAAAATAATTAGCGACTGTGATGGCATGCAGACTATTTTTTCTTTCTTTCTTTTTTGAAAAAAATCACAACAAAGCATTTTTGATTAGTGTGGGCTAATAACAAAATCAACAAATTCCGCTAGATCGAATTGCGGAGCACGATCAGCAGCAGCGGCCTTGACTGATTGGAAAGCTGCACGACAGAACACAGCTAAGCTGAATCAGCACGCCAAAAGTTCTACTTTAGAAAAGGAACAAAGCAATAGAACAACATTTGAACAGCATAGAACACAAAGAATTGTCAGCAAAAAAGAAAACCCCCATCGATCAGCGAGGAAAATTACTGTCGTTTAAGAAGGTGCCTCAGCCTACAATGGCTAGCATTACCGCCAGCTTAGCTCAGTGGTTAGAGCACTGGTCTTGTAAACCAGGGGTCGCTAGTTCAATTCTGGCAGTTGGCATTTTTAACTT